GAAAAGGAACTTCAGTCTTTGCCACAAAAGTCAAAGCACTCTATTTTACTTTTTGTGACTTGTTTTATAAATTGTTTGGCAATAAAGAAGATTAAAAAATGAAGCCAGGCAGATTAAAACAGAATTGAGGAATCAGCCACTTGTCATTCAACAAGTATTTGAATATCTGTTATTTGCCAAGAAGTGTGCTAAGTGCTGTGAGACATGTTCCTTTTCTTTTAAGGGCTTGTAGTCTAGTAAAGGTTTAGTAGAAACTAGTTCAAGGGAGACTGATCAAAGTCTAATCGCATCAGTGGGCCTGACTGGTAGAGGATGGGACAGATCACCATCTTGGTGAAGAAGAGATCGATGATGGGTAAGGGGCCAATCTCCAGGTAATCATCACTTTGAAATCATATAGCAAAGACCCAGAACCAACTATCTGAGCTGGGGCCTCTAGAAAAGGGACTATGGGAGTGAGTGATCAGAGAGATGACACACATAAGAAAGCCATTGCAGAAAAAGTGTGGGAATGGGTAAAATTATGTTTGGCAAAATGATTTTCATACATTCTCAGTTGTTTTTATTTTGTTCTAACACCTGAGGGATATGACACATTTTTGTAGTCACTGTGGTAGAGTCTTCAGGAGGGGTTCAAATACTTAGGTTTGGAGGAGACTCAGTTAAGTGTCTTTGGGGCCTTGCAGAGTTTGAAAGTCCACAAGTGATTCTGATCTCCATGCCTTTCTTACCAGTGCACATTTATCACGGAGCACTCTTTGACTGTGTTCCTTGAAGAATCTCGAGCAGCTTTTAACAATAAGTGCCCTGTAAGAGAGGTGCAAAGTGCACTTTCTGTGTAAAGGAGGGAGATATACCATGGGCTTTGAGGGACTCGGGGGGAAAGAGAGGTAGCACTTGAGCATCTTTATTTTGATAAAGTTATATTTGCACTGTTGATTTAAAAGCATCTAGCTTATCTAATAAAGAGGGATATGCAAATTGACCAACACTCCATAATGGTCAAATGGCTGTGCCCACAGCAGAGGCAGGGATTCTGTAACACAAGATGGCTGTGCCCACAGCGGAGGCCAAGTTCCCATTATGAGACTTAAGCAATCAGCAGGGACCTGAGGCTGCATGGTGCTGGGCCAGGGCAGGGGACCTGAGGTAGCGCCTCCGGCCTGGTGGGGCTTGACAGGGGACCTCAGACCGTGCCTCCTGCCCCAGCGCCAGACTGGGGGACCTCAAGCTGTGCCCCCCCGCCCAACAGGGCTTGACAGGGGACCTCAGGCTGCACCCCCGCCCTGGCGCTGGGCCATGGGACCTGAAGCCACGCCCCTGCCCAGCGGGGCTTGACAGGGCACCTCAGGCCGTGCCCTCTGCCTGCAGGGCTTGACGGGGGACCTCAAGGCCCACCCCCCCCCACCCCCCGGCCTGGGCTGGGAGACCTCAGGCCACGCTCCTCACTCTGGCACCGGGCCAGGTGACCTGAGGCCACGCCCCCCACCTGGCAGGGCTTGACGGGGGTGGGGCAGCTGGTCTGGATCTAGCCAATGGGGTGGGGCCAGCCAGGTCTGGGTCTCACATGATTTCAAGGTGCATGTGGGTGGGTGGGGACTTGACTCTGGTTCCCGTGGCGCGCCCTAGACTCTGACAGGAGGAAGATTTTCATATACATTTTACTAATTTTCTTTCATCTCTGACACTTCTATTATAGAGAAAGGGCAAATAGCAATATTAAAATATTTCCTCTAATTAAGTCCCTTTTGATGTGCACAAATTTCGTGCACCGGGCCACTAGTCTATATATATAAAAAGCCAGTGACCAGAACTCTGTAATGACCAGAACAGCTGGTCACTATGATGCCCACTGTGGCCACCGAACTGGCCAACCTCCCACAGCCCCTCCCCCAGCTGGCCCCACCCCTGATTGCCCTCCCCACCCCAATAGGGGGCAGGGCCAGCCGGCCAACCTCCTTCAGCCCCTACCTCTGGTTGGCCCTGCCCCCAATGGGCTCCCACCACCCCGATTGGCCCACAACCCCTTCCCCCAACCTGCCCTGCCCCTGATTGTCCCCCCAGTGGGTGGGGCTGGCTGGCCAACCTCCCACAACCCTACCCCTAGCCGCTGACCCCTGATCAGCTCCCCCAACCCCATTGAGGGGCTGGGCCAGCCAGCCCACTGCCCATAGCCCCTCCCCACAGCCAGCCCTGCCCCCAATCAGCCCCCACATTGGGGTTGGGGTCCCCTGACCAATCACCTGTGGTCCCTCCCTCCAGCTGACCCAGCTCTGATCAGCCCCGATCGAGGCGGGCCGGCCAGCCAACCTCCCTGTATCTCCTCCTCCCCACAGGCCCAGCCCCAATCCGCCCTGAATTGGGCCAGGCCAGCCGGACCCCACCCATCCATGAATTTGTGCACTGGGCCTCTAGTTATTAATAAAAATAAAGGGGTGGTTAGAATTTTGCTATAGTTTTAAAAATATAATTTTGCAAGAGTGTTAATGCTATTAAAATATACCTTATGCACCTTTTAAGGGATACTCAGAATGGTGTGGTTGATATGTAATTCTTTTGACATTTCAGTTGGTAGGTCTTATCAGCTTCAATGTGGGTGTCACAAGTACTTTCATCTGTTTTGTTTCATTTGAACCTCATTTAACTATTCTGCAAATTCAGTGTGGCAGGTTATTATAATCCCCATTTTAATGATGAAGGAATCAAGGCTTTTAGTGATTAATACACTTACCAAGTGGAAGAGGTCTTCTGACTCCAAATCTGAATATACCATGCAGCCTTGTAGTGAAATGTTTAATGAAGGGCTTCTGGCTTCCAGTTCAGTGAATCACAGCACCTCCTCTCTCAGACCTGAGAGGCAGGTTAACTACAATCTAATTTTTTTAACCTTTAGCTAAAATCAGAAAAGTAATTTTTGACATGTAAATACAATAAAAGTGTTAGCTCTGCATCCCAGGTTTGCAGTCATGGTTCAGGTGACACCATTCCAAATGAACAATATAGGCAGCTGTATTAGTACCCAGAAGCCAGGTTGCTCAGTTTAGGTGCCCTTCCCTACAGAAGTTAACTTAGCCCCTTCCATGATGGCTTCTTGCCAGAATACTGGAATATTGGAACAGAAGTTAACTTAGCCCCTTCCATGATGGCTTCTTGCCAGAATACTGGAATATTTGGAATATACCAGAACTCTGGAAGCAGAATACGGTGTTCTTCCATTCCCTCCCCTTATCTCTTTCTTTTTGCTCCAGTGCCTTTGGTAAGATTTCTGCAAA